CAAGATAAGATTTAAACCATTCGAGAGCCATTCCTCTGAAACCGTAGAACTGTAATTTGTTAATTAAGATATTATGATTAACACAGTCGAAAGCTTTGGAGAAATCACAGAAAATTGAGGCTGTAGAGTGGTGGCAGTTCAGGCTGGAGTATACATTATTGAAAAGGGAAAACATTGCATCATTAGTGCATTTGTTACTTAGGAAACCGAATTGACTGGTAGTTAGAATATTATATTTAGAGAGAAATGATAGAAGCCTCTTTTTAACCAATCTTTCTATGATTTTTGATAGCGTAGGAAGGAGTGCAATGGGGCGATAGTTTGAAGGTAGCTCCTTATCACCTCCCTTATGCAGTGGGATAATTATCGCCACCTTAAGACAGTTTGGAAAAGCTCCATTTAGAAACGACTTGTTGATCAGAGTAGTAAGATGTTTTAATGTGCAATCAGGAAGATTAGAGAACATTTTGAGGGTGAGTCCATCAGTCCCAGATGAAGATTTGTTTTTAATATCTTTGATTGTACTGCGAAGCTCTGGAACTACTACAGGCGTGAAGAAGAAACTGTGTAAGTTCACCTTAGCATTCGGGAGATATGAAAGTGGGTCCTGGGAAGGAGTTAAGGTATTCACTAAATTCTTAGCCACATCAACAAAGTAATCGTTAAGGATCTCAGGTGAAGTAGGAATTTTGCTAGATGAAGAAGCCTTATTCCTCAAGTCATTAACAATTGACCATGTTTCTTTTGCAACATTTTTGGAGTTTGCCAGCCTCCTATTATAATAAATGTCTTTGGCGGCTTTTATGGTTTTCTGATAGACTTTTCGGTATAATTTTACGTAATCATTGAAGAAGACGCTATCCGAGAATTTTTTTAGATGAGACAAGGATCGCATATTTTTTCCAGAAGTACGCAAGCCACTAGTGGACCATGGTTTATGCCGTTTGACTTTGATGGGTCTGAGAGGAAAGGATTTAGTCGCCAGGTCAGATAGGGTATTTATGAATCTAGAGAACTCGGAGTCAACATCATCTGAGTGGACGACCCAGTCAACTGATAAGCAAAGTTGACTGAAATTTAAAAAATTTCCATCCGAAAATATTCTGCTTAATTTGCGGGAAGCACCCTTACGTAAGGAATTCAATGAGAAATTCGTTAATACTGCTTCGTGGTCAGAAAACCCTGCACTAAAAATAGAGCAGTTGACCAATTCTGGATCAAAAGATGAAGCGACATAGTCAATGGTAGTAGAACTAGTTTTGGTTATTCTGGTTGGAGAGTTTACATGCATCACAATCCCAAAGGAGTCGAAAATGGACTGGAGAGATTCTTGAGCAGCGCACACACAGGAAAAATTTATATTATAGTCACCACATAAAATTATTTTGCAATTCAAGGGCAAGGAGTCAAGCAAGCTCAGCAAATTCCGACAAAACATGTGCGCGTCTGTGTCCGGTGATCGATATAAACAAACAATATAAAGGTCAAAACCACTATGATAGACGATGGAAAATTCAAATATTTTTTCCGATAATAAATTATCAAACTTGGTTATTGCAGTAAAGTCATTATTAGTGGACATTATCATAGTGCCTCCGTGAGATAAATTACTTCGATTAAATCTAGCTATTGAGGTGTAATTTTTGACAAACACAGGTTCATCCATATTTAACCAGTGTTCAGTAATGGCGATGATTTCTGGAAAATTAAGCTCTTCTAATAAAAGAAATAATTCATCTGTTTTGTGTCTTAAGGACTGAATATTAATAAGAAATACACTAAGCTTGCCATCGTCCAACCTTACAGAGGGTGCTTGATCCTCTGGTCGCGTCACCTTATCTAAAAATTTTTATTATTACGTGGAGAGCCACTAGAGAAATATTTGCTCTGACTTGCCCTAATATTCTGTAACCGGAGAAGTTTCTCGGACGAGAAGTAAGACCTGAAGGCGGAGAGATCAGCGTCAACTTCAGCCAGACCAATGCCATACGCGTTGTGGAAACGGAAATATAACTTCCGCAATGAGTCCAAGTCAGTAGGAAGTCCCTCCGAAGCTAACATTAATTTGATGCTGGTGTTAGTGTGCCCATCAAAACACACGGTGGATGGTTGGTCATGGAGATAAGCCAGGAATAGCCTAAGAGCTTTAAGAATGGCAGGGTCTCTTAGTCTAGCCAATAAATATCGACCATCAGCTGTATCGGAAGCTCGCGATAATCGCACAATGGGTGGAGTCATCGGGTCCATGATTGATTCATCTTTTTTTCTACTTGTATCCATAACAATTTTTGTGCTGTCTAGTGCCAGGGACTTAGAAACAGCTATAGCCTCCCTGTCAGAACCAATCCTGATAGTTTTATCATCCTTAGTCGGGTTAATCGGGGTTGAGTCAGAGTTTAGTGGTCTACTTCGGCCCTCCGCAGTGTTGGGTTTGAAATGGTGATGAGACTGATGCTGTGGATCTACTGTAATTGCTGCCGATGGTGGCGATGCCTTTAAAAGTGTTGCAGATGAATTAGCAGTCTCTATACCCGTACCTGGAGGCCACATGCTTCTGTCCAAAAGCTACTTCCATGTAAAATAACACGTATGAGAGTTTCATGACTGCCAAAGCTATGCGGCGCTAGTATAGCAAAGCCACGAGCAAATGTCATCTGTGAATGAATGTAATTTGTCATTATATTTGCCATTAGTCAGCCGTTTGATGTGTGTTCGTGTTCTTTATTTGATTTCCTATCAATTTTTGGTAAAATTTTGACTTCCTAATATGTTTTTAACAAAAGAGACCTTATGTTACATGCAAACATTCTGGAAATGGTTTTAGTGATGGTATTTATTTACAATTTTTGACATTCACTTAAGGAGTCATTTGTGCACAAGACCTATCAACTTTTTAGTGTTTTTTTTTTCAATACGATTTTCTGTTGTGTTAACGGCTGTTAAAGAAGGAGATAGTACTGAAATGTTGTTGTTTTATTTTCAAAAAATAGGGTTTAATAATAAAATGAAATTGATTAGACAAATTATTTGAAAAAAGGCGGGAACCATATGACTACTGCCACAATACTGGACGCACCGAAGTGCACACTAGCGCTACCATGCTGTGGCAGTCATACAACTCGCTGCATGAGTAAGACAAGGATAGGGAAAATGGCCTGAGTTTCCTATCTTTAGGACGGGTTAATCTGTGCGTACTATCCTAACAAACCGTACCTTTAGGATTCTGCGACCTGCGTAAAACGTAAAATTTGTGCGTAGAATCCGAGATTCGTTTACAGTGTGGTTACGAAACCGTTCTAGAGACGTTTTTTGGCGGGTTAGAACAGACTTCATAGTCATAACGTCCATCTATTTAATTTTTCTCAAAAAATACGAAAATTATCGCTTTGTTCCAACACAGCAGGAAACCGTACACTGTACCGCCACGATTCTGCGCAACGTACAAAATTGTTTAGAATTCGAAATTCATATACAAAATGGTTTCAGAATTCTTCATGGGGCGGTTTTTAACTTGTTGGAACAGACCTTATAAAAGCGGAGAATTTCAGCAAAATGCGGAGAATTTTATTGGTCAAGGTGGAGAATTTTGGTGCGAAGGACTGGCAACACTGCTTTACAATGAATTTTTGTGTCAAATATAACAATCCCTGTCATTGCCATAGGTATAGCTGATGAGCTCGTTTTACAATAGGAAAAAACGGGTGTCCCACTTTTCATGTTCACAACTGTACATGTCAAACTTTTTATCAGTTTTTGATGTGAAACTTCTTAGGTGGCGGTCTGATATTTAGAGGAGAATATGGAGAGTGATTTGAAAGACGAAAGACGCATCACGTTACGTCACGTTTTAGCAAATTTCGTTACAGGAAAGATGAGAGAGAAGGAAGCTATAACGTAGAGAGACGGAGAAAGACATCAACTAATGACAATGACAGCCGACGAACAATTCACACTAACGAAGGATTATAAGTAAAGAGGATTGCCTATTATTGTCAAGCGCCGATACCCTTGTAACGTCACTATAGATGCGCGGGCTCTTCGTCTTCACCCCGACTCATACGCTAAGTCTCAAAGCTGTAAGAGGGAGGGTATAGTTCTTGAAAAGTTTTACTTCTGAATACGTGTACGATGCTACACATGATTTTTTTGAACTGAAACTTCTTAGGCGGCGGTCTGATTTGAAGGAAAATGGAGAGTAATTTGGAAGAAGCGTCACGTTACACGTGACGACACGTTTTGGCCAACTTTGTTATACGATAGACGAGAGAGAAGAAATATATAACGTAGAGAAACGGAGAAAGACATTATCCAATGACAATGACAGCCGACGAACAATTTACACGAACGAAGGATTATGAGCAAAGAGGATTGCCTATTATTGTCAAGCGGCAAGCTCCGATACCCTTGTGATGTCACTACAGATATGCGTTTGTCTATTGTGTAGCCTTTCGTCTTTATACCCCGACTCATGCGCTAAGTCTAAAAGTTGTATAAGGGACAAGTTCATGAGGGAGGGAATAGTTTTCAAGAAGTTCCACTTCCTAACACGTGTACGACGTATGATGCTACATATGATTTTTTTTATGTTTCAATAAAGTTGGGAAAATTAGGAATGTCCCCCCCCCCCCAAAGCAGAGGCCTTCGCTACGTCCCTGCTTTGTACAATTGCAAATATTGCAATTAAAAAGAACATCGAAAATAAGGAAGTTGAATTTCCATATTTTTATTTCTTCATATTACCAAGAATGGTCGAGAATGATTTTTTCAAATATTTTTCCAGAGTGTCCCAAAGGATCCCTTATTACGTAGTTAAGAGCTATAAATGGCCCACATCCTAAAGAAAAATACCTGTTTACTCACCTATTAGGTACATAAAGTACTATAATATTGAGGAAAATATATGACTTTAATTTATAGTAACCTAATTTTTTTTTGTAAAGTTCATAATGTAACTTTGAGATTTGTAATGGACTTTTTTTTAATTATTTTTTGTTTTTCAGGAAAACTTCTACCAGCAGTCCTCTTGCACATGAATCTACTTCTAAATTTGTCGCAGTAATTTGCACCCTAGATTTGCAAAAATCATTATTTAGAAGACTATTCGGATGATCTCTTATATTTATAGTTAGAACACTTTTATGGACACTACGACTGTTTTTGATTTTTTTGTTGAAATGAAGACAGTATCGGCGATAGGATAGATTAGCATTTGTTAGATAAGGATATAAAATATAAAAACGATTTTCTAACAAAATTAATGATTAGGGTTTTTTTTAATAATACATCATTAAATGTTATTACTTCTTACGATTATTATTATCGTTACTGCTAAATGTAAATAAATTTTAAACCAAACACAGTGTACACATATCTTCGTCTTATAATTAGGATCAGCGGTCAATGTTTTGGTAATATACATTATATTTGTTAATAGTTTTGAAATAATTGTTGATCTTTAATAAAAAATTAATTATGTATATGATTTAATAGTTATTTACCTAACAAGTGCGGAAAGTTATACTTTTCCGCAAGCAACGGCGTTTGCACGAACGACGTGCAAGCCGTAAGTGCGGAAAAGATACTTTACGCTCGTGTTAGGTACAACATTTTTCCTACGAGCGTGCGGAAATTGACACATTGTTTTTTTGTTTGTTTTTGGCTCTACTGAGAAAAGAAATGGTCAAAAATGTTTTTCAATTAAGTTTATTAACGCAATAATTTTAACAACAGAACATTAACAATTATTTTTATTTATTATATTTTTATATCGAATTAACGATTTATGTTATACAACTCATTAAATAGGTCGATATTGGTCAGTACAAAAACCGAATAGCTTTCTTGAAGAGGAAAAACGGTCGAGAAATTTCAAAAAGATCTAAATTCTTTGAGAAGCATGATATAAAGAGAAAAATTGAAAAAAAAAAATAATAAAAAATCAGTGCGTGAAAAACTTTTCTCGGGCACAGCGTGCGTGAAAAACGTTTTTCGCGCACGCCGTGCAATGAATTTTTTTTCACGCACGCAGTGCGGAAAAGTGTTACTTTCCGCACGCAAATCAGTGCGTGAAAACTCGTTTTCCGCACGCTCGTAGGAAAAGATAATTTATTTGATTCTAAAAATTAGTATTATATTGAACAATTTTAATTTGGTCAAAAATAAACTGTATAAGTGCAAGATGAGTTAATAGTATATTAAGCACCAAGTTTAGTAAAGTAAGGTTTTACCAATTGAGTGTGGCCAGTTTTGTGTACGAGGAAGGGATGCGAGCGAGTGCTCTAAAGCCCTGGTAAAACCCTTTGCTAACGCGTCGTTGCTTACACTATTTTATCGCATTTTGTCTACAAATCGTTAAAAAAAAATCACTTTTGACATGACTTAAAATAATTTTTGAAATGACATTCACAACAGACGGTGGCCAACTTAAGGTTAGTCTTTTTTGTCGGTTACCTAGAAATCTCTAAAAATTATAAGGGAAACGATCAAAAAGAACTGGTAATGGTTGCTATGTGGTAAAGTGTTACTATCTTGGTAAAATGGCACTTTACCAATCAATTTTGAATGCAGTTATATATCACATTACTATAAAAAATGCGATACAGTTATTAACGTTATATAGGTTTATAAAGAGCAAATAGCGGCCGGGCTGGAGTTCGTGTCATAATCAGGCAAGGCTGTTATTTGCAGTTATCGGCCGTGTTCCGTTCTAGATTTTTCGCCATACTGCAGACCTTGCAATCTGATATAAAAACAAAAACCTTCCGGCCGGCGGTCGTTAAAATATACCTTTCGATTTCAATTTAGCTCATGTTATAGTAAGATAAAAGTGCAGTATGAAGAAAACGGAATAACATGTCTGAATTTGTCTCACCTTGAGTTGGGTAATGTCAGTTATTCATCTGTTCAATAATTATTAGAGAGTTTCTTCATTATGAACATGAAGTAAAAATAAAATTATGTAGACTGTGAAAGAAGGACCCTTTGTAAATTAATAATATATTGCACAATAGAAAATGATGAATCATTGTTGTAACTGTCTTGTTTTATTTGAAATGAATTTTCGTACCATCTTTTCGTATCATAAAGAAAGAAATACATAGTCATTGAAAATAAGATACTGGTAAATTTTTCGTTGGTTGTGGGTACACGAAAATAGTTTACTGGATGTTATTATAGGTATTCAATTTCGCACAATGAAAAAATGAATCAAATATCTCATCGCTCGGACCCGTCAATTTTTATTCAGAGGGGGAAATCTTTTCCACTTATTCTCAATGTTGTCACTTCAACCCTCTCGCGGGGTTAAGCTCCAACCTTTAAATCTTAAATGGTATTAGTGGTCAAGTGATTCCTCATTTCAAAGGTCATCGAGTTCTCTTTTCAACTGTGCCTATTTTTTAAAATTTGATGCATTGGTTTTCAAGAAAACGCATTTGAAAATAGCCGGTAATAGTACTGCTTTAGTCATTTTTAGCACTATCAATTTTTTAGTTATAACAATTTTTATTTAAGAAGTGATTTATTGTGTTTTTTTTTTGTTGCCCTATCTAACTTGAAATCACAAGGTTCAAATCTAGGTTTTTTTATCACTCAATAAAATTCAACTACAGTTTATTTTTTCCCAAGATAGATTTTGGCATTGTCAACCTTGAAACATAAACAATGCCGTTAATGCCGCTTATTGGTCGCTATTGTAAAACTGATGTCAACCTGCAGAAACACCTCATTTTGCAACCATTCAGGGTCAAGCGTTATTGTTTATGTTTCAAAGTTTTCAATGTCAAAATCTATCTTGGGAAAAAATAAAGTGTAAATATGTACATTCTAATTTTAGATATCTTTTGAAGAAAAAAAACCTTCGTGAATTCAAAAAACTAGGCACCGTTAGGAGAGAATTCGATGACCTTTGAAATGAGGTATCACTTGACCCCTTCTGCCATTTGAGATTTAAGGGTTTGAGCTAAATACGAGATATTGGCCTTGTTTCGTTTTCATTGGCTCACCCTGCTGGTCACTTACTTGTAACTCTAATAGGAAATTATGTATCATCTCTTAGATTAGTTTGTATAACGTGAACTAGGAAGAAAATAAAAGGTGAACTAGGGAGAAAATGAGAAATTGAGTCTCACGATGTCGTAACTTTCTGACTGCTAAGAGAGAAAAACTGATTGTCAATGTCATCATGATAGATTTCTTGCGTCACTAGTGGATGGTGGTGGAGAGCTTTTTGAATGGCTGTGAGGGCAGCAGTCTGCAATGGGGTTAAAGGGATACAGGAGTTAATTCAGGAATAGAACACTGTTATAATTCTTCCCCGTTCCCGTTGAACAACGTGATCGTCTCGATTGTGGGGTAAGAAGAATGTTTTGGTACTGTCCCCCAGTACCCCTCCCCCCTATCTACGCTGGTGAAAACAACCTACGAGATTAGATTGTACGAGATTAGATTGTACGAGTTACAATGCGAAGAATGCAGTGAGGTCCGTCACGACCCGGCACAAATTTGAAAGTATATATTATATTTGCGTTGCTTAAGACGTGAGTGTCAACAAGAACCAGATCACCAACGTTAAGTTTCACATCTCGTTAGTTAAGTTATTTATGTTTCTACGATCTTGTGTAATTTCAAGCTTATAGGGGATGTGCGCCAAAAGTTAAAGTTTTAGTGTTAAAAAATCTAAGAATAACAGCCGCGTTAATGTGATTGTTCCCGGCACAGATTATTGCAGGTGACACTGGAAAATCATATGTAAATTCAATTCACTTCACTACCTCGTGCGTCGCTTGAGCTCTCGTGACGTCATTGGATGAGATGCGGTACCTTCTGTAGTATAACATACCCAGGTTCGCTCAGTAAGATTGAACGATGAGAATTTTTTATTACCTTTAAAACAACAAATCTTCTGAAAAATGAGATGAAAAACAAATAGGACCTACGTTGTGGAAACTTACTCAATTTTACTTACTGGACATGCGCCCGACATAGCAAATATTTGGGAAATTTAAGGGAAGTTGTGATATGTAAAAGAAACGAAAAATTTGTGAAACGTCTCCTTTATTATCAAAGAAAAACGTACCGTTCTCGACCTAGAATTCTCGAGGGAAAAGAGAACGGCAGAGAAAACCTCGATCTAACATTCCCCAAAAATCGAAACAGACTGTGTCATTTTAAATAATCATCGTGAGTCAATAATTTAATAATTTCAATAAAAGAATCCCTTGCAAATTTGAATAAAGAAATTCAAGACAAATTATTAGCGAAACAAACAAAGTCTTTAGAATCTCGTAATAAAAATCGTGAACCTGAACCAGAATTACAAGATCCAATCTTTGTAAAACAATTTAATAGAGACAAGATAAGTCCGCATTATGATAGCAAAACACAGAATCGCTTTGCTAAACAAAATGTTAAACGACAATAATTTATTTCAGGTACTCCGAGATGAATCCTTTAGTATTCCTAACTCTCGTTGGAGTCACCCAAGCGCAGAGCTGGGCAGGGCCTGAGTGCTTTGTGCTTGCGAAAGTGCTTGAAGCACTTTGAGGACTTGAAAGCCCTGTATTTCAAGCCCTTTTATAGATTTGTAATTGGGGCTTGCAAAGTCAATTACTTTAGAAAAGTGCTTGGTAATTTGTAATTGAAAAAAGTAATTCAAGCCCTTTCAATGAGCTTCAATTACTTTTAGAGGGCTTGAAGCACTTTTGGGAGCTTGAAGCCCTTTGAAAGGGCTTGAAGCACTTTAAGAGGGCTTGAAGCACTTTTGGGAGCTTGAAGCACTTTGAAAGGGCTTGAAGCACTTTAAAAGGGCTTGAAGCTCTTTGAAAGGAATTTGAATTGCCCATCATTCAACCTATCCCCCACTTAAAAATTTTCGATCGTATTTTGTCCTTTAATTTTTTTTTATATTATTTGAACTTGAACCGTCTTATGTCTTTTCTCTCTTAACAATGGAGGTTTTGGGTTTGAGCTTAGAATGGAATTTAAAAAAAAAAATGAATGAACTTATTATTCAAATAAATAATTAATTTATATTGGTATCCTATTTAACTTTATCACTGGATTTTTTCCACTTTTCCCCATTGAACATTTTGAAAACCTTAAAATTGAATTTCCATGTAGTACCCCAACTACCCCAAGTACCCCAGAACTACATCTCAAAAAAAACATACTACTGCTACTCTGTGAAATGTAAAGTTCGTCTCTACTATACCAATTCTGTGTGATGAGTGTACGCGGTAACTTATGCCACTTTGAGAATTTTATTACAAATTCAAAGTGCTTTAGGCACATATAAAGAGCTTCAAGCACATTTAAAGAGCTTCAAGCACAATTAAAGAGCTTGAAGCCCTTTTCAAGGCACCCCAAGCACTTTTGATGTGCTTCAAGCACTTTTCAAATCACTTTGAGGGCTTTGTGCTTGTCAAGCCCAAAGCACTTTGAGGGCTTTGTGCTTGTGAAGCACTTTTAAAAATAAAAAGGAATTTGTGCTTGAAATTGAAGCACTTTGATAGAGGGCTTAGTGCTTCAAGCCCTTTTACTGAGGGCTTTGCCCAGCTCTGCCCAAGCGTATACATTGATGACGGTAGAAAAACCTATTTTACCAATTTCTTTAGGAACTACTTACGTAACAACTGAACATAACACGGCCTATTATCACATAAACACGACAATTTTCATACAAAGTATCCATAAACTGGAAATTACCTCAATGAAATTATCTGACACTCTTAACAAAACAACATGGTCAAACCAATTTGTTGCACTGTTTCAAACAAATATTGAAAACAGTCATTCTCAAATTAAGATTATGAAACAAGTAATCAGAACCTATCAAGACCGAAAACGTAATAAAAGAGGTCTATTAAATTTCATGGGCACAGCACAAAACTGGCGTTACGGAACCCTAGATGCTGAAGACGGCGCAAGATATGATTCTTATATCCAGACGCTCAATGATAATCAAAAGACTCTCAATGAAGATTTAAAAACACAAGCTCAAGTATTGAAACAAGTTACAAAAACATTTCACGATCAATTTTTAACTATTGAATCTAACCAAAAGGTTATCACAGGAAAATTACAAAATATTTCCTTGGAAAACCAAAATTTCCTCTCAATGTTAACTTTTAACCTAATATTGAACAATATCAATATTCAAAGTAATAAAATAAGAAATCTTATTGATCATGTGCAATTAGCAATAAATTTTGCACAATTGGGAATAATGCATTATACTATTTTACAGCATAATGGATTAAATCAAAATATTAACAAATATACCCAAAAATCAGCAAATACCTTTTGATAATAAAATCAAGTATTACGAGACAATGAAAACTCAAGTAAAAATCCAAAATGAGTTAATTATATTTGTTATACACACACCAATGAATGATCCCAAGCCCTTTATATTGTATAAAATCTATCCTATTCCTATCCAAGAACTTACCATTAGGACTAAGTACCCTTACCTATTACTTACTACGGACATTTACTATAATACTTTATGGAAATGCCCGAAAGTCGAAAGTCGAAAGTCGAAAAAAAAAAAATTCCAAAATCTAAATCATAAGGGGGGGTAACTTCTTACTAAAACGATGAAATTTCAAGTTTTTTTTGTCGAGATTTTATATCCTTATGGTCAATCAACATACCCCAAACTTCATACACAGAATTATTCTCAGATATGAAGCCGAAATCTATGAAAAAAGACACTCAGAATAATTGAAAAATTGATAAATCACCTCAAATTGCTTAACACGATTTTATCTCAGAAACTATAAGTGCAAATGAGCTGAAATTTTCAGGGTTTGTAGTCCTTTGAAAAAGATAAAATTCAGTCAAAGATTCAGCTTTATCTCTATAATAGAAAAAAAGTTATGAACTTTCAAAGTTTTCCAAAATCTAAATCATAAGGGGGGTACCTTCTTACTAAAACGTTGAAATTTCAAATTTTTTTTTGTCGAGATTTTATATCCTATTGGTCAATCAACATACCCCAAA